CTTGTACTTTTACTCAAGTATCACTCTGAGGTACTTTATACAACACTGTAAAATGGGTATAATCTGGTTGACGTGCGGAGCAGCTCTGAAGACAGAAATCATTTGGTTTGTAAGGAGGCGACACGTCAGGAGTGATGACATCATGAGGACATCTGACCACCTGAAGGGAAACATTCATACTGTGCAGTGATCATACCGAACCCACAGGTCCTCTGATCCACCTGTAGGACTCTGTGGACCCACCACCACATGAGTGTTGGTTCTGCAGAACCCCATGTGACCGGGCCAGCTGGCTCTGACTGCTCCCATCCAGGCCCACAGAGGGGCCACACCCTGCTGACCTGGACCATCAGGGTTTCTGTCCTGTGCTGACACCTGATCTGAAGTTTTACCTTTCAACACGTGTAGCATCATTTGACTTCAAACACTCGGAATTTGAATTTTTTTCATCTTTCCACTTTAAATCTTTGCATTAAGCTGAAAAAACTAAATGTGTTTTTGTGAATTTGCATCCAAACTGTTTGCAACCAAAAAACTAAATAAATGAAGTATTTTGAGCTGAAGAAGCAGGTGAAAACATTAAAAAGATTAAAACTCGTTTTGACTCACTAAACCCAAACTAATTGCAACAAAGTTAGGTTCTGTTGAGTTTTACTGTGTGAGACACAAAGTAAAGCCCGTCCTGTAAGCTGGACTCACGTTGGTGGACCCCGGCACCACACCCGTCCCTCCTCAGGTGTGACGCTCTCAGTGACCTCGAACATGAAAGAAGTGTAAAGATCAGACAGAGAAGGCTCTCACCTGGTAGACCATCACTTTAAAGTTTCGTCTCTTGAGCAGCTCGGCTTCGTTGCTCTCCAGTCTCTTGATCTGGCCCCCTTGCTTCTCCAGCGTGGCCCGGACCGTCTTGACGTTGACGCTCACCTTGCGTACCTTCTCCATCATCTTGTTGACGCTGTTGGACGTGGTGCTGTGGCTCTTGGTCAGTTTGGTCAGCTCTCCTTGGATGTTGGTCACAGAGCGCTCCATCTCCTGCTGCCTGGTCTCCAGGCCGTTCTGGGTTTGCTGGATCTGGTCCACCGCCCCAATGATCTTGTCAAGCAAAGACAAAATCGTGGCCCCATTTGCCAGAGGATCCTGCTTCCCTGCCTCGTCCTTGTCCTCGTTGGTGTCCTCCTCATTGGACTGGTCCTTCTTGGCTGCAGAGAGGACATCGTCTTCATCATCTGAGGGCGGGAGGTTGACCTCGTCGTCGGAGACTTCAGTCAGGGTTTGAGGTCCCAGCTGGGAGATGGAGAAGTCCAGTTCTTCCACGGCTGCCATTCTAACAGGTTTGTAACAACTTTCTGAACTTCAGGACTGTTTGCTTCTTCTCTTGATTCACCTTCTTTACCCTTCCTGTTTTTTCCAACAGATGTGTTTCTTCACGGCATACAGCCACAGCTCTTCCTCTTCTCAGTGTGTCTGAAGTCCCTGCAGTCGGACCAGTTTGTGAGGGGAGACGAGCAGTGCCAGAGACCAGCACCTCTGCACTCAAATACCAGAGCAGGCAGAAAACCCCAGGATCAAGCTACAGCCTACAGGGTATTTTCTCTTCAGTCCTTTTTCCACTGCACGCTCCCTCTCCTCAAACTCCTCCCTCTTCTCCTCCTGTTTGAGCTCCAGCCTTCAGCTCGGCCCCTCCATGATCCACCCCCCCACAGCCGAGCCTGGTGCTGTGGACATGGCTGGAACTGTTAGCTTGTGTACAAGCTGAGGCAGAGCTGTGGAGGAATGTTGAGCTTCATCTCTTCCTCTCTGTTCCTCCTGCTGCACAAAGTGTGAGACATGAAGCCGAGGCAGGGCCTGGTCACAGACAGCAGGCAGACAAAAGGTTTGTTTTGACCCACCGCCCAGTCAGTCTTCATCCTCCCAGTGAGTTTTTAACAAACCAGTAGAGGAGACGGATCCCCAGCACACGTTCTGAGGGGATCCTGCAAGGTCTTTGTTTAACTTTGGTGTCAAAATGAATATCTGAAGAACCAATGGACACATTTTATTGTTCATTTAAGGAAATAATCATTGCAACTCAACAAGGGACTAACTTTTAGAATCAACACAATTCAAGATGGCCGCCACACTCAGTCGATCTAAAGAACTGATGAAAGGCTCTGAGTCATCAGTTTGTTGTAGCAGAGACTGATCGGTTTCTGATGGCTCTCAGTTTTTTTACTTTTCACACCTGTTATTATTTCTGTTTGCAACAAATTGTGTTTCACCATCAGTTTCACATTTAAAGAGTCAGTATCATGTAAAATCAACTTTTTTGAGTTTTATATCATGTTATAATGTTATACTCTGATAAAAACCTGTCCAAAGCCTTGC